TGCTATATGGAAAGTGAATTCGCTCTGTAAATATTCACCCAAATCACAATTAAAAAAAAAAGAAACCAAATGATGTATTTCATTGGGAAACCTGCTGCAGAGGACCTCTTTAAAGTATTAAAGAGCAAAGATAGCATTTTGAAGACTAAGTGCCCCTGACCCGAGCTGTGGGATTTTCAGTTGCCTCATAATACATGTGAAAGCTGGATAACGAATCATGAAGACTAAAGAATTGATGCATTTGAATTATCATATCATATCATATTAGGAATAGATTTGATGCATTGAACACCAGTGACTGAAAACCAGAAGAATTGTGGGATGACATCAAGAACATCATCCGTGAAGAAAGCAAGAGGTCATTAAAAATACAGGAAAGAAAGAAAAGACCAAAATGGATGTCAGAAGAGACTCTGAAACTTGCCCTTGAGCAGAGAGTAGCTAAAGCAATTGGAAGAAATGACAAGATAAAAGAGCTCAACAGAAGATTTCAAAGAGAGCTCGAGTAGACAAAGCCAATTACTATAATGAAATGTGCAAAGACCTGGAGTTAGAGAACCAAAAGTTAGAGAACACGCTTGGCATTTCTCAAGCTGAAAGAACTGAGGGAAAAGTTTAAGCCTCGAGTTGCAATATTGAAAGATTCTATGGGCAAAATATTGAATGATGCAACAAGCATCAAAAGAAGATGGAAGGAATACACAGAGTCACTGTACCAAAAATAATTGGTCGATCTTCATCCATTTCAGGAGGTGGCAAATGATCAAGAACCAATGGTATTGAAGGAAGAAGTCGAAGCTGCACTGAAGGAATTGGCAAAACAAGGCTCCAGAAATTGATGGAATACCCATTGAGATGTTTCAACAAACAGATGGCCCCACTGGAGGCACTCACTTGGCTATGCCAAGAGATTTGGAAGACAGCTACCTGGCCAACTGACTGGAAGAGATCCATATTTGTACCCATTCCAAAGAAAGGTGATCCTACAGAATGTGGAAATTATCCATCAATATCATTGATATTGCATGCAAGTAAAACCTTACTGAAGATAATTCAAAAACAGTTGCAGCAGTATATTGACAGAGAACTTCCAGAAACACAAGCTGGATTCAGAAGAGGATGTAGAATGAAGGATATCATTGCTGATGTCAGATGGACCTTGGCTCAAAGAAAAGAATACCAGAAAGACATTTACTTGTATTTTATTGACTATGAAAAAGCATTTGATTGTGTGGATCATAACAAATTACAGATAACATTGAGAAGAGTGGGAATTCCAGATCACTAAATCGTGCTCATGAGGAACCTGTACATAGACCAGGAGGCTGTGGATCAAACAGAACAAGGGGATAACTGCATTGTTCAAAATCAGGAAAGGAGTCCATCAGTTTGTACCCTTTCACCATACTTATTCAATCTGTACACTGGGCAAATAATCTGAGAAGCCGGACTATATGAAGAAGAACATGGCATCAGGATTGGAGGAAGATTCATTAAGAACCTGCGATATGCAGATGACACAACTTAGGTTGCTGAAAGTGAGGATGCCTTGAGGCACTTACTGATGAAGATTAAAGAATACAGTCTGCAGTATAGATTACATCTCAATATAAAGAAAACAAAAATCTTCACAACTGGACCTATAAGCAGCATTACGATAAATGGAGACAAGGTTGAAATTGTCAAAGACTTCCCATTGCTTGGTTCTACAACTGACACCAATGGAAGCAGCAGTCAGGACATCAGATGACATATAGCACTGGGCAAGTCGGCTGCCAAAGACCTCTTTCAAGTGCTGAAGAGCAAAGATGTCTCCTTGAGGACTAAGGTGCACCTGACACAAGTCATGATATTTTCAGTCACCTCACATGCATGTGAGAGCTGGACAGTGAATAAGGAAGACTGAAGACGAGTTGATGCTTTTGAGCTCTGGTGTTGGCAAAGAATACTGAAAGTACTGTGGATTGCTAAAAGAACTAAGGTCTGTCCTGGAGGAAGTGCAACCAGAATACTCCTTGGAAGCGAGAATGGCCAGCCTTCGTCTCACCTACTTTGGTCATGTTGTCAGAAGGGACCATTCCCTGGAGAAGGATGTCATGCTTGGTAAGGCGGAGGGTCAGTGAAAAAGGAGAAGGCCCTCAACGAGATGGATTGACATGGTGGCAGCAGTGATGGGCTCAAGTATAGCAAGGATCATGGAGCTGGCTCAGGACCAGGTGGTGTTTCGTTCTGCTGTGCATAGGGTCGCTGTGAGTCAGAGATGACTCGATGGCGCCTATCAACAACATCATCATCTTAGCGAAGAATATTGAATATGCCATGGACAACCAGAAGAACAAACAAATCTGTCTTGGAAGAAGTACAGCTGGAATGCTCCTTAGAAGTGAGAATGGCCAGACTTTGTCTCACGTACTTTGTCATGGTATCAGAAGGGACCCAGTCCCTGGAGAAGGATGTCATGCTTGGTAAAGCAGAGGGTTAGCCAAAAAGCAGAAGCCCCTCAGTGAGACAGATGGACACAGTGACTGCAGCTGTGGGCTCAAGCGTGGCAGTGGTTGGTAGGATGTGCAGAACTGGCCAGCGTTCTGTCCTGTTGTACACAGGGTACCTGTGAGTTGGAACTGACTCGACAGCACCTAACAACAACAGCAACAACAAGCTCTTGGGAATGAGCTAATGTGGGGTAGCAGTGGGGCCAGGAGTTCCCACCAGCCCCCTCCTGAGTCATCCATATTGTAACATCGTCCGTGAGCCTAAGAAGCAAAGCACCGAGCGTCTGTTGCAGATTCTGAAGCCAACCACCACATCGTTCCCCACCAACACACCCATAGGTGTGACCTCCTCCATCACTCCTCACATGGAGCGCTTAAAACACGAGAGTTCATCTGTGTATCAGATGGAGTGGACAAAGAAGGGATGCCAATCGTTCCCATCCTAGTTTCCTAGGCTGGCAGCTACTCAGTCGTGAGCTGGTTGTGTGGGGCACCTCCCCCTCAGTAACAGGAATGATATAACTAACCCATATGGAGCATTGCCCTGTGTGTTAGAAAACCAGTAAAGTTTATATGTAGAGAGAAAGAGAAATTTATCTTAGGAAAATGGCTCACACACTTATAGAAGCTGGCAAGTCCCAAGTTCTTGGATCAAAGGTCAAGTTGGAGGCTTTTCCCGACTCACACAGCTGCAGGGACTCAGGAGCTCAAGGTTGGCAGGCAGTATACCGGCTGTTGACTGCAACAAATGACAACTCCGAGATCTCCAGGCTGAATGGTGGATTGTTCACTCACGGACAGTTGTAGGCAGCACAACAGAATCCCGATCCCCAGAAGAGAGTCTCTTTTCCCAGGATGTCCATAAATATACTGGAAGCAGGCCACGCCCCTAGGGAAACTCCCTTTCAGCAGATTGGCTGTTCAAAACATATACATCTGATCCCATCACTGGAACAACCCACATCACAATTGCTTAAACCACACAGAACTGTGGTCCAGCCAAGTTGACACACAGCTCCAGCTATGACACACTCCCCCAGATATTGTTCTATGCTGTTTGGATATACTAACTTACTTAATCTTCATTGACAAGAAAAAGAAACAAACATTGCTGTTGAGTCAGTTCTGACTCACAGAGACCCTGTAGGACAGGGTAGAAGTGCCGCATAAGGTTTCCGAGTCAGTAAATCTTTATGGGAGCAGACTGCCAGGTGTTTCTCCCATAGAGAGTGGCTGGTGGGTTAGAACCATTAATTTTTCTGTTAGCAGCTGAACACTTAACCACAGTGCCACCACGGTGCCGTATTTAATCCTCATGATGGCATTATTTCATTATTATGCCCATTTTACAGATGAGGAAAGTGAGGCAGGAGACTGTTTAACTTGTCCAGGCGCAGAGCTGGGATTTACGCAGGCGACTGGCTCCAGAGCCCGTGTCGCAACCAGTACAACAGATGGCTGCCTCATATTAGGCTTTGATGAGGGTGGTCTTCCATCTCCACTCCAACTCCTACTATCATTCAAAACAGAGCTTGGCCCACCTCCTAGAGCAGGGGACTCAGTTCTTTCTGGTGGAGGCCCACTCAGAGGTGAGACTTCCCCATGCCCTTTTATTGTGGTGAAAATATACATAAGACATTCACCAACATCACAACTTCCCCGTTTACGGCTCAGGGACATTGATGGCATTTTTAATGTTGTGCCACCATTATTGCCATTCTTTTCCAAACTATTCCACCGCTGTTAACATAAATGAGGTGAGACGTTTTTGGAAAAATAAAAAGTCATCGTACAGGTCTCCATAGGAGTCCATAGACTCGTTATGGCAGAATATCCAGGCTAGGAGCCCAGACTCTGGAGCCCAACGACCTGAGTTCAAATCCCAGCTCTGCTGCTTACTTGCTCTGTGACATCGGGCAGGTGTCTTTCACTCTCTGAGCCTTCAGAACTGGAATAGTGATAGTCATCCTGGTCTCAGAGGGTTGATGGGAGGATTAAGTGAGTGAACACACATAAGGAGATAAAAAGCAGGGCCTGGTTTAGTCACGTCTCTGCAAGCCATGGCTGTCACTCTGTTGTGTGTATGAGCCTTAGGGCCATAGTTTCGCCTGATTGGATGAACCATCTCCTCTCACCCTCCAGCAGGTCTTGCAACCAGCAAGCCCCCCAACCCACATACACACAAACCAATAGCCCTTAAGCCCTGCAGACCCAGCCAACCCGAGGTGCAGACACTGCTTCTCCCTTTTCCCAGCTCCCTCCCACCTTCCTAGACCCTCCCACCCACCTGCTCCTTCACTGATTCCCACCTTTCCCACCTGCCTGCCCACCCATTCTGCCCTCAGACCCCTAGTCCTGGACCCTGCCGACCCCACCTGGAACGTGGGCCAGGGCAACTGGGAGCTGTTGGCCCGGGAAGCAGCAGCCCTGGGGACGCAGGCTTGTTTCGTGAGTGGAGACGGGACACCTGTGCAGGCCTGGGATGTGATGGTAAGCAGAGGAGCTCTGGGGTGCCCCCATCCCCTTTACCTGCCCCTGCCCTCAGCCCCAGCTGCGAGGAGCCTTGGCTGTTTACAGCTCACAGGTGCCCCTTCCCTGGAGACCCCGTTCCATGAAACCCAGATGATTACAGCCCGGTTGGTGCCTGAGTGACCAAACCCAGTGCCATTGAGTCAGTTCCAACTTATAGTGACCCTATGGGACAGAGCGGAGCTGCCTCATAGGGTCTCCAAAGCTGTAATTTTTACAAGCGCTCTCATGATGTAATAGTGTAGTGGGTAAGGCATTTGGTTGCTAACCAGAAGGTCAGTAGTTCAAACCTACCAGCAGCTCTACAGGAGGAAGATGAAGCAGTTGTACTTCTGTAAAGATTTACAGCCTGGGAAACCAAGTGGGGGTTGCTATGAGTCAGAATCCAGTTGATGGCAGTGGGTTTTTTGGCTAATGGGTATGGAAGGAGATCTCTAAATCTTTTTGCCCATGAACCCACTTTGTTGTTGTTATGTGCCATTGAGTCAGTATAGCGACCCCTCCTTGGGTTTCCGAGGCAGTGTCACTACAGCAGTAGATTGCCCCACCTTCAAACTGCCTGCCTTTCAATTAGTAGCCAAGCACTTAACGACTGCATCACCAGGGTTCCTTTAGAGTGACATGGGGGCACAAAAGTGCACCCTTATCTCTGAACCACCAACTCTGGGATGCAGTTCACACTCCAGGGCTCCCCCGGGTTCAGGGCAAAGCCCTTCCTTCTGAGGTCTGTCTTTGTTCAGCTTCTCCCCCACCCTCTCCTGCTTCCACCCTCCCCTGCCCTGAAGAGCATGTTGTTGTTGTTGTTGTTATTTGCCGTCGAGTCGGCCCCGACTCATAGCGACCCCTCCTTGGGTTTCTGAGGCAGTATCACTACGGAAGTAGGATTGCCCAACCTTCGGTTAATCACATGCCCAAGAATCCTTGTCTTAGGCTCTGCTTCTTAGGAACCCGACCTAAACTTGGGCCCTTTGCAGATCTGGGGGTTCCGTCTTCACCACACCTGCGCCTTTGCAGACATGAATTTCACTACCAACGTTTAACACTCAAACCCATTCAGAGAGACCAGGGCCTCGTTATTACACCCATTTCAAGATGGGAGGACTGAGGCTATGAGTAGGTTATGGAACCAGAGCTCAAACTCAGGTCCCTCTGATACTGCCTCAAGGGCCTGCCAACCCACTAAGAAGGAAGACAGGAGGAGGGAGAGAGTAGAGTCTTGTCCTGTAGGACATGCAGGGACAGGGTGGGGTGATCCTGGGGAGTCCTGTCGAGCCAGTCCCTGGGATTCTCTCTGCAGCCCGCCCTCCTTTACCAGACCCCCGCTGGGGACCTCGACAAGTTCATCAGTGAGTTTCTCCAGCCTACCCGCCAGTTCCTGGACCAGGTGAACAGGGCCGTCAACACCATCTGCTCATTCCTGAGGGAGAACTGCTTCCGGAACTCTCCTATCAAGGTCCTCAAGGTGGTCAAGGTGGGTGTCATGGATTGAATCATGTCCCCCCAAAACATGTGTTGTGAATCCTAACCCCTGTAGTGGTTAGCCACGGGAGAAAGGTGAGGCAGTCTGCTTCCGTAAAGATGACAGCCTTGGAAACCCCATGGGGCCGTTCTACTCTGTCCGGTAGGGTCACTATGTTGTTGTTGTTGTTATGTGCCGTCGAGTCGGCCCCGACTCATAGCAACCCCTCCTTGGATTTCCGAGGCAGTATCACTATGGAAGTAGGATTGCCCAACCTTCCTTCCGAGGAGTGGCTAGTGGGTTTGAACCGCCAGCCTTCTGGTTAGCAGTCAAGTGCTTTAGCCACTATGCTACCAGAGCTCCTGTGGGTCACTATGAGTAGGAATGAACTTGGTGGCAGTGGGTGGTTGTAGTAGTCAGAGTCCCAGTTGGGGATGGATTTTCTGGGTTATGTCAATGAGGCGGTGTGAGTGTGAGATGTGCCTTAAATTAATCTCCTTTGAGATATAAAATTGCAAATCTAGCAAGCAGCCAAGCAGGGGAGCAGAGGTGGAGGAAGTTAGACATCATGGCACAAGATCACCCGGGAGCCAAGGAATAGAAACAGAAGAAACAAGGACCTGCCCAAGAGCCAACAGGGAGACAGCCTTTCCCTAGAGCCTGGGCCCTCGATTCTGACTTCTAGCCTCCTAACTGTGAGAAAGTTGTTTGTTAAAGCCACCCACTTATGGTATTTTTGTTATAGCAGCACTCAGTGACTTAGACAGTCTACAGAGCTGTGAGCAAGGAAGGTCCTGCAGGCTAATGGTAATCTCTCCCGGGCCAGGGCCAAGCAGGGTTAGGGTTAGGGTTATCCCCGTATTAAAAGATTCAAGCCACAGTCACACAACAGGGCCATAATCCAGAGTGCAGACAGATCCCGCAGGCTCTGGCAGGAGGATGTCATGCGGTACATCAAGGTTAAGCCACCCGCCATGTCTCCCCAGGGTGGCTCTTCAGGCAAAGGCACAGCTCTGCGAGGCCACTCGGACGCCGACCTGGTGGTCTTCCTCAGCTGCTTCAGACAGTTCACCGAGCAGGGCAACACGCGGGCTGAGATCATCTCGGAGATCCGAGCGCAGCTGGAGGCGTGCCAGCAAGAGCAGCAGTTTGAGGTGAAGTTCGAGATCTCCAAGTGGGAGAACCCCCGCGTGCTGAGCTTCTCACTTTCGTCCCAGAGGACGCTGGACCAGAGCGTGGACTTTGACGTGCTGCCAGCCTTCGATGCCCTCGGTGAGGTGCCCAGGCACCAGGAAGGGCAGGGGCAGAGACGGGGCGGCTGTGGTCAGACGTAGGGGTTGTGCACTGCACAAGGCCACGTCTGTGCACATCGTAGGCAGCACAGATGTGTACGCCTACCACAACTTGCCTGCAGATGGCACCAAAGCATCTGAAGAATAGAGCACCCCTTTCAAATTCACACCAAGCATCCTGTGGGCTACAGTGGTCTCTGGGCTGCGTTCTAGTCTCAGCAATTCCATGAATGTCCTGGGTGACCTTGAACAACTGGGTGGAGCTCTGAGCCCTGGTGTCTGCATCTGACAATGAAGAAACGGGAAGTGTCTGAACATATTTCCCAGCTTTGGGTGTTTGGACCCCTTCTCCACCCTGCCCTGGATAGAGCCCATCATTTCCTTCAATAAGTGCACCTACTGTGTGTCTGACATTCTTGTAGGCACCATGGACAAAGGCCTGAACCTAACAGACACAAGTCTGTATTTATTCTGTTCTGAGTTTGCGTAGGAGACGAGATCCTCTGCCTCTAAGTCTATTTGGTTCCGAGTTTTGGAGAGCAAGTAGCAAGAGAGGAATTCATCCAAATGTATTGGAGTCTGTTGAGTTCCTGAGAGTTTGGGTACTAAGGAATGCCTTTAAGTCGAGACCAGAAAAGTGATGTCAACTTCACACACACTCACAGTTCTGTTACCTGCAGGCTTGAAGCCTGAGCCCTGCTCACTCTCTGTCAGAGAACAGGATGAGCAAGAATTGGAGGCATTAAAGATGTAGTAGCTCCAAACCCAGACTTTTTTTATCATGGATAATCAGGTGGGTTGAGAGAGGGTGGCAAAGGGAATAAGATTCTCACCAGGAATTTGATGGTGGGTCACACACCCAGAGCCTCCCCACCGCTCTAACCCCTCACAGAGGCGCGTGCAGAAGGGCTGAGTCAGCCCCACTGGGATTCTGGGAAATGGGGTGATGGCGGCTTTTTGCTTGTCTCCAGGCCAGCTGGGCTCCGGTGGCAAGCCCAGCCCTCAGGTCTATGTAGACCTCATCCACAACTACAATAACGCGGGCGAGTACTCCACCTGCTTCACGGAGTTGCAGCGCGATTTCATCGTCTCCCGCCCCACCAAGCTGAAGAGTCTGATCCGACTGGTGAAGCACTGGTACCGGCAGGTCTGCCACAGGGCCAGGCCCCCACTGCGGCCCCTGGGCTCTGTCTCCTCTGGCCAGGCCACTGGGTTGGTGGGACCTTGGTTTTCTCAGGGCAGTGGAAGGACGTAGCCTTGTTCCAGGAACGGATGGGATAGGTGCCCAATAAGAGTGTAGACTGACACCTCCTCTTTCTCCTCTCCCCCAGTGCAACAAGATGCCCAAGGGCAAAGGCTCCCTGCCCCCCCAGCATGGGCTGGAACTCCTGACAGTGTACGCCTGGGAGCAGGGAGGGCAGGAGTCCCAATTCAACATGGCTGAGGGTTTTCGCACCGTCCTGGAGCTGGTCACCCAGTACCGCCAGCTCTGTGTCTACTGGACCGTCAACTACGATGCTGAGAACAAGATCATCGGCGACTTCCTGAAGCTGCAACTAAACAAGCCCAGGTTCAGACCCACCCACTGTCCCAGAGTCCCAGGCCCGGGGTCACGCAGTGTCTCTCCAGAGCAGGCAGGAGGAACCTCTGTCTGGAACTCAGTCTTTTCCAGGCATGGTGTCCTTGACACCTGAGGACAGCTGGCAGGTTTCTTAGCCACCTGTGAATATGGCTGCCAGATAAAATACAAGACACCAAGTGTTATTTGAACTTGAGATAAGCAATGAATTATTTGTAAGTATAAGTATGTCCCATAAAATACTGGGGACGTATTTATACTAATAAAAATTATTCCTTGTCTATTCGGAACTGAAAGTTAACTGGGCATTCTGTGTTTGTAGTTGTTGATCTGGTAACCCTACCTGTGAACCCACCAGATAACGTAAGCACGTCTCATTGTTTGGGATTTTGCCTGCCTTTCAAATGGGTCCAGACACAGCACAGAGGCCTTCACACACTCACGGTGGATCTCCAGTCCGTGGGTGGTGGTGTTATGTGCCATGGAGTCAGACCTGACTCACAGCAACCCCTCTTTGGGTTTCCAAGGTGGTATCACTATGGAAGTAGATTGCCCAACCTTCCTTCTGAGGAGTGGCTGCTGGGTTTGAACTGCCAGCCTTCTAGTTAGCAGCCAAATGACTTAGACACTATGCTACAGAGCTCCTCCAGTCTGTGGGTAGTAACTCCTTAAAAGTCATGTAATTAGAAAGACTCTGAGGTTGTGATTTGGCTCAACTGAGAAGAGTAACCTAATCAATTAGTGACCTCTACCATAGATACAGGAAGGGGAAGTGGTAGAGACAGTGCTCTTTGATTAATAATGTCTGCTGTATAAGCTGTAAGTGATGGTATGAGCACCATGGTTGATTAGTAATGTCTGTCCTGGATACAGACACAAGAAGTGGCCTACATGTAGTTTATTTTCTATACCTGCCCTCAGGTGTGTGTGGAGCAGGGAAGAGGCTCTGAGCTCTGCCCCTGGCCCCTGCAGAGTGTTAGGTGAAGGGGAGCATAGTCCAACCAGTCCTACAGATGGTGAGCAGTGTTCCTGGGAATAAGACTGACTCTGAATTGGAATTGCAGGCCCATCATCCTGGATCCAGCTGACCCGACAGGCAACCTGGGCCACAATGCCCGCTGGGACCTGCTGGCCAAGGAAGCGGCAGCCTATGCATCTGCCCTGTGCTGCAGGGGCTGGGATGGCACCCCCATCCAGCCCTGGCCAGTAAAGGTGAGGGGCCTGTAAAGAGGAAGGGTATACCCTGCGTGGGAGGGAGGGGGCAGTGGGGGGGGCTGGCTCTGCACAAAGGGTCAGGGCCGGTCATGGCCCCGGGGTGCCCTGTGCCTGCACTTCCCATCTCCCCCTGTGGTCCCAGCCTCCCTAGCAAAGTTAGGGGTAACCAGCATTTACTCTACTCTCCCCAGGCTGCTGTGTGAAGCCTATTCCTGGTCATATTGGATGGACAGATGGACACCAGCCCTCAATGTGGGGAGGCTTAGGGCCAGAAGCCAGATGAGCCTGTAGGGTGGGGGGGATGTGCATGTGTGGGGGGGGGGTACAAAGATAGGGGTGCTTGTGTATGTGTGTGCATAGGCACGGTGGGCATGTGTGGGTGGGTGGGTGTCAGTCAATCTGCTCTTCTCCCCAGTCCAGCCCCCAAGCTGACCTCCCTATCTCCTCGCTCTTCCATCTCCTCCTGCAGCCGAATTGAGCTGCATGAAATACCACCCGCGTCCGACGGGCAGCCCCCAGTTCACACACCCCTGTCTCCACGGCCTGCACGCTGCTCCGTGCTGGGGCACCAGCCTGGCTTTTCAGCCTCTCCATTGCCGCCATGGCCCCACAGCCCCTATCCTCAGGCCGCTGTCCCTGCCCACTAGGGATGCAGAAGGGCAGAAGCCTTCCCTTCACGACTGTCATCCTTGCAGGGAGAAGAACAACAAAGCTGTTGTTCCGCCTGTACCTGGAGCCCATACTCGGCCCTCTTTGGCTGTAGCCTGAGAGTGGGCTGAGGGGTCTGCGTGCAGGGTCCTCCTAGTTTCTGGACTCTGTTTACAGGCCCCCTGCCTGAGCCCTCTGCTCCTGTGGTGCTGAACCAACGCCTAGGGCACTGCAGGTGGAATAAAGTTTCTTACACTCATCTTGCTGACTGTCAGGCTGGTGATCTGGGGCTGAAGCTCTCCAGGCCCCACATTATGCCTCTGGGATTGGCCCTGGCTGCTGCCACATACATTTCCAAGAGGCCCGGACAACAGAGACCTCACCTGCCAAGTCGCCTGGGAGAGAGGGGGTCCTGCCCATCACAAGCCATTGATTCTCCTCCTGGTTGGACCAAGTGGCTGGTTCCCATTCTGTACGCCCCGTCTCCACCACATGGACTCCCAAGCCTCGTTCTCGAAACGGCTCAAGAATTAGAATTGAGAGATTGTATTTCCCACAATTATTTCAAAATAAATTTTTTTTTTCTTTTAAAATTTTTTAAATTGTGAAGTGAGTGAAAGTTTACAGAGCAAATTCATTTTCCATACAACAGTTGATACACATTTTGTTTCATGGCATTGACTGCAATCCCTACGGTATAACAGCTGTCTTCCCACTTCCTCCCTGTGGCCTTCTTTCCTATGCATTCCTGCCCTCTGAGCTATCTCCCTGTGCAAATGCTGCCCTTCTGATCTCCCATGGTCAGTTGCTCTAAGGAATGTCCCTTCCTGCTGTAATTGTTCAACTTTGTAGGCCTGTCTGTTGTTTGGCTGGAAGTCACGAAAGTAAATTTAATTCTGGGCTCAAAGGGTGAGTAGAGGCCATATGTCATGGGTTTCACCAGTCTCTATCTGCCTGGTAAGCTTGTCTTTTATGAGTCAAAATAGAATGTTTTAATAATAATAATAAAGCATGGGCTTTGGAATCAGGCTTCATGAATGAGACCCAAGCAGACAGTGGGTGTGTGGGATGTGAGGAGTGGTAGTCATTCTGGACTAGGCAGAGAGGAGGGCTTCCTGATCCAGACAAGAGGCGTTTCATTCTGGCCCCTCAGTCTTAGACATTGGGCACCCTGGTATTGGCAGACTGACTCCACTTTAACTTTGGGGCCCCTCGTCTCTGCCCTCCAGGTGTGCCCATCTGCCATCCTGCATCAAAACACTTCGTGATGGCCAACTCTTCTGTGATTGCAGCAAGGTCCCCTTTGGGCCACTTGTTCTCAGAGACACCCTGTGATATGAACCAGCCATGTCTCTGTGGACTCCATGCACCCAGGTCAGAACCTGGCGAACTCAAGCACCCAGATGGGTTTGCATACAGCGGCCCAGAGGATGGACTCTGGCTCCCCAGTGTCTCCTCAACAAGATCCCTCACTGTGTCCACATTCTCCACTCACAGCCTCCTCTCTCTCATTTCTTCCTCTGGAAGACTACATCTTCCTCACCTGCAGTGCTTTTCCTTCATCTCCCCTGGGTAACTCACATCTGTTCTTTAAGATCTGGCTTCCAGCTCACCTCCTCCAGGAAGGCTTCCTGGATCACCCAAACTCTCAGGGAACCCCTCTCCCTTGTCAAACTCTTGATCATTCTCTGCTGTCATTGTCTGTTTTACACTTGCTCTCTGGTGAGTCAGTCTGGTGCACTGGAAGGAAAGAGTCCTGGATTTCAAGTCAGGAGTCCCAAGGCTTCTGCTTTAGAGCAATTATGAGCCAGCTGCTATGCTGTTTGGTTCCCTAGTACTGCTCTGACAAGAATATACCACAAATGGGATGGCCTTAACAAACAGGAGTTTATTCTTACAATTTGGAGGCTTTAAGTCCAAGTTCAAAGTGCCAGGCTCTAGGGGCTGGGTAAAAGCTCCTCAACCTTGGGGTCCAGCTCTGCCTCCTGCTCCCGGCCCACTGGAGTTAGAGGCATTTCTTCACTCAGACAGCTGCTGGCTGCTGAGGCCGAGAAGCCCCAAGGTTGACAAGTAAAAAGGCACAGTCCCGATGTTACCAATCCACACTGCAGGCCATTAACTTAAGTCCATTGTAAGTCCCAAGGTCAGCAGAGCATAGCAGGCTGCTGAGCAACAACACGGCTACGTGCAGGGTCCAAGCATGCCATAGGCTAGAGACCATTCCCAAAGCTCCTTATATACAGGAAGCAGACCACATCCGAAAGACAGCTACTCAGCTGCTTGTGGTAGGTCCCACCATGGAGTTGATTGCCAGTCTCATCATGGGGATTAGCTACCACCAGCTGCCCAGCCACTCAACCAGGCCCAGCCAAGCTGACACACAACATAACCACCACATATCCTGAGAACATTTTTCATTCCATTTGCTCCACAGGTAGCCCTATGGGGTGGGGACTGTCGATAGCCACCCCCAAGTAGAGGGCAATGTGGCTTTGTGGTCAAAGGCCTCACAGTACAATGACAGAAGAGAATTTGTGGTGTAAAATGAAAAGAAGGCAAGCGATCTTTCTTTGTGTGTGATGATAGCTTATCTGGGAAGCCCTGGAGAATCAATGATAAAAACGGGGAACAGTGACCCATGAGGAATGAGCCCCTCAGAACATTCAGCCATATAGGACCAAGAGGGCAGCATGTGCCCAGAAACAAAGCCCCGAGGCAGGCAGGGCAGGAAGGATGGGCAGACGGAAGAGGGGAGCCCAGGGAGGAAGCGGGAACAGTGCTGTCACATTGAAGGCACTGCAACCAATGTCACGCAACAAAATGTGTATGAATTCTTGAATGGCACATTTATTTTCTCTGTAAACCTTTACCCGAACTACAATAAAATGCTCAAATCATAAATAACTTTTTATAGAAACACACAAAAAATAATTTATTGAGGTAGCAAACTGTAAAAATGAACACACAAAAACAGAAACATCCGTAATCATAAACAATAACCATTTAGATCAGGGGTCAGCAAACTTTCCTTAAAGGCCGAGTAGTAGATACTTTCACCTTGGCCAGCCACTCTCCAGCGTGACTATACACAGCTCTGCCTTGGTAGCGCGAAAGCAGCTACAGACGCTATGTAAACAGTGGGTGTGACTGTGCCAATAAAACTTTATTTACAAAAAAGGGAAGGGGGCTAGTGTTCTGGTTCCCTAGTGCTGCTCTGACAAGAAATATATCACAAATGAGATGGCCTTAACAAACAGGAGTTTATTCTTACAATTTGGAGGCTTTAAATCCAAGTTCGAAGTACCAGGCTCTAGGGACTGGGTGAAAGCCCCTCAACCTTGGGGTCCAGCTCTGCCTTCTGCTCCCGGCCCACTGGAGCTAGAGGCTTTTCTTCACTCAGACAGCTACCGGCTACATGAGGGTTCAAGGTGCCATAAGCTAAAGACCGTTCCCAAGGCTTCTCCTTAAATACAGGAAGCAGACCCCATTCCCAAAGGCAGCTAGCTACTCAGCTGCTTGTGGTAGATCCCACCATGGAGCTGATTGCCAGTCTCATCATGGGGAATAACTACCACCAGCTGCCCAGCCACTCAGCCAGGCCCAGCCAAGTTGACACACAGACAGAACCACCGCACTATGACTCAGAATCGCCTCGTGGGTGGGAGTTTGTTTTAGTATTGTGTGTCGTTGCTGAACAGAAGCAGCGCCTGGCAGCCCTTTGTGGGTTTCGTACTGGACGCAGGAGGTGCATGTCCATTCACCTCTGGCCTGTGCACTTCGACGTCTGTTTTCCACTGTTGCTGGGCGGGGCAAGTGCACATAAGGCCCTGTGTGCATGTGCATGTGTGCACATTCATGCAAGAACTGGGCACACAGCTACTCCTGCCCACTGACCCACTCCGGACTTGTGTTTGCCAGGTGGCTGACTTGAACCCCGAATCCAACCCAGCCCCTCCTTGCTGTGTGTCTCTGGGCAAGTCAGAACCCTCTCTGGTCTCTCTCCTCTCTGCGCTCATCGAGTCTGAGACCTCAGGCCACTAGGAACAGGGAGGAAGAGAAAAAGCCTCAATTATAGAATTGAATTTATTTACTTAGCAACCACTTCCGTGCATTGCTCACGTGCCAGCTCCTGTCTGAACACTTCACAGGTATTATTTAATCCTCATATTAACCCTACGAGAGATAACTGTTAGCCCCATTTTACCAGCACATCGAGGCACAGAGAGGACAGATGACTTGCTTGAGGGCACAAGTCTGGTGTGTATTGGTGCTCGCTGTCAGGCTCTGGAGGCTGCGTGGTGAACTACCCAGTCTCCTCGGAGCAGCTGCAAGCTGCCAACCGCAGCCCAGGGGCGGGGCAGAGCCGCTGGACAAGGCAGTGCTGCCGGGAGCCCTGGGCGAGTTTCGGTTTCCCGGCTCGGTTGAGACGCCTCCTGTCTGCTAGTGCACCGGCAGCCAGCAGGAAGCTCTGGGAAGCTGATTGTCACAGCCACAGCGGAATGCTGTGCCTGCTACTGACCGAGGGGCTTGTATCCAGAACTGCCTGTGGCCCCCAGAAGACTGTCAGAAAGAGATCAACAGGCCGTGATTGCCATCTGTGTCAGGACGAGGAGCAGTTCCCCCTGGTGCAGGGTGTGGCCAAAGTGAGTCCAGGGCCCGGGTCAGGGCCTGGGGAAGCCGGAGAGTTCACAGCCCCAGGACTGTGCGCTGAGTGCCCGCTCGGTGCCAGGTTCTGGACTAGACATCGTATTGGCTGCCCCACACTCTGGTGAGCTGATGGAACATGGTGTAGCAATTCAGAGCTGGCTCTGCCCCTTACCAGCGTGTGACCCTGGGCAGGCTCCTGCACCTCTCTGTGCCTCATTTTCAAATCTGTAAAGTGGGGAGAAGAAGGATACCCCCCTCGGAGTGTTGAGAGGTTTAGGCATATCAGGTTCTTGCCACACAGCCCATGACAGTCAGTCAGTTGGCTGGGATTACTATTAGTGTTTCTATTTTCTGTTCTTATTTCTAAGGGAGGAGCTCTGGTAGCGTAGTGCCTAAGGCACTCGACTGCTAACCAGAAGGCTGGCAGTTCAAACCCACCAGCCACTCCTCGGAAGGAAGGTTGGGCAATCTACTTCCGTAGTGATACTGGCTTGGAAACCCAAGGAGGGGTTGCTATGAGTCGGGTCTGACTCCACGGCACATAACAAAAGCAACAATTTCTAAGGGGCTCTGGTGGTGGTGTGGTTAAGACATTAGGCTGGAAACAAGAGGTGGGTGGTTCAAACCCACCAGCTGCTCCACAGGAGAAAGATGAGGCAATTTGCTATAAAGATGTACAGCCTTGGAAACCCGGTGGAGTCGACTCAATGGCAGTGGGTTGGTTGGGTTTGGGTTTTATTCTTGTTTCTGCCCCGATTGCAGAGGGTAGACTGAGGTCAGAGGGGCTCAGGAAAGTTCCCGGAGGCTGCTCTGTGGTTTGCAACAGCAGGGGCAGGGCGCAGGTGGAAATGTGCGTGGATGCTATGGCATGTATCCCAGGGCTGGGGCTGAGGGGCTGAGCCGGCGCCAGGTCCACGGGCAGCAGGAGGGCTGCAGGGCCCCCCTCACCCCTCTCGTTAGCCCTGGCCGCCCGCCTCTCTGTGGGGCTCCCTTTGTTGTCGTAGCTGCTGTCTCTGATTCAGGTCAGCCTCGTGTGTAACAGGACAGAACGTTGCCTGGTCCCGCGCCATCTTCACGCGTACGTTTGAGTTCGTTGTTTCAGCCGCTGTGTCCGTCCATCTCATCGAGGTTTCCTTTGTTTTGGTTTTCATGATCCTCTAGCAAACATGATGCCCGTTTCAAGGGCTGGATCATTCCCGACGACGTGTTTAATCTAAGCAAGCCAAAGTCACACCATCCTAGCTTCTAAGGGATGTTCTAGCTGTAGTTCATCTGAGACTGAGTTGTTCATTCTTCTGGTTGGTAGTCAGTATCCTCACCAGCGCCATGGTCCCTACGCATCAATTCTTCCTGTCTTCCTTTTCCACTGTGCAACTTTCACATGCATCTGAGGAGATTGAAAAGTCTATGGCTTAGCTTAGATGTGCCTTAGTCCTCAAAGTGCTATCTTTAAAACCTGTCTTGGAGGAAGTACAGCCAGAAGGCTCCTTAGAAGTGAGGATGGTGAGACTTTGTGTCACATTTGGACGTGTTATCAGGAGGGAGCAGTCCCTGGAGAAGGACATCATGTTCAGTGAAGAGCAGGGTCAGTGAAAAAGAGGAAGACCCTCAACATGATGGATCGACACCATGACTGCAATGATGGGCTCAAACACAGCAATGATTGTGAGGGTGGGACAGGACCAGGCAGTGTTTCATTCTGCTGTGCACAGGATTGTTGTGAGTTGGAACCAACTCAACAGCATCTAACAATAACAACAACTGGGGTGATGCCACGGCTGTTGGTCTGCAGACCACACTTTGAGGGTTTAAAGTAGAGTTGATGTTGATTCCAAAAAAAAAAAAAAAAAAAAGAAACACCTCACTGCTGTCAAGTCAGATCTGACTCATAATGACCCCTCCTTGGGTTTCTGAGGCGGTATCTCTACAGAAGTAGATTGTCCAGTCTTCCTTCCGAGGAGTGGCTGGTGGGTTTGAACCTCCAGCCTTCTGGTTAGCAGTCAAATGCCTTAGGCATTACGCCACCAGAGCTCCCTAATGTTGCTTAGAGGAGGAAAATGAGCCAAGCACCTGGGAAAGTCCAGCTGGGACAGACATTTAGAGTCTGCCTTTGTACAAGGTCAACATCAAGGCACAATCTCTCATGGGCAACTGTCTACAAGAGCTTGGGGGCCACCTCAAACCCAAGCCTGTCTCCTCAAGGCCTGCCCACTTCCTGTGTTTGCTGTCCTACCAAATGTCTCCACAGTCCTGCCTGCTGCCGAGCCCAGGTTACATCTGACTCCCCCTCCTCCTCATCCACAGCCTCCCACTATGTCCTGCTGGTTCTGCTCCTAAGCCTCCTGCACTTCTCTCCTTCCCACTGCAGCTTCTCTAGTCAGTACCCCGTCAGGGCTGGCCTAGCTATGGCAGTGGCTTCCCGTTGTTCCCCTGCCTTCTGCCTCACTCCTTTCTACATTAAATCCTCTGCTGGCTTCTCATTGCACGTAGGATCACGGGCAAGGTTCTCAGCAGGAGTGACAACATTTTATCAGTAGTCTAGTAGTCCTTTCTTACTTAGTTCTTCAGCCCTACCACTAACCACCAGCCCCCGCCCTAGCCGTTCTGAACTTCATAAAGTCCCTCAAACCCCCATGCTCACTCAACTCGAGATTTTGACCCATGTGGTTCCCTTGCCAGGAACAGTCTTCCTCCGACCCTTTGTGTTTGGATAATTCCAACTCATTATTTAAGTTACCTGGGTCCCCAAGTCTGGGTTAGACCCACATCTTATATGCTCCAAAACATCTTGTGCCTTCTCTAGCATGGAATTTATTTAAATGATTTTAGTTTTTCCCTCTCCTAGATTATATGCTCCATAAGAACAGGTACCATGATAGTCTTGTTCTTTTCCAATCACTGGTACAATGTTCATGCTCAGGAATAGTGGATGGATGGATGGACGGATGGATTGATGGATGGATGGGTGATGGATGATGGATGGATGGGTGGATGGATGGATGGTTGGGGAGTGGTTGGGTGGGTGGATGAATGGATGGATGGATAGATGGATGTGTGTGTAGCTGGTTAGAAAGATGATTAATTGGATGGATAGATGGATGGAATTCAGCACAGTTACAGCTAAGTCTCAAGCACATATAATCACAGAGTTTAAAAGTTTCAGGGCAGAAATCTAATCCCTCAGCAGATAGCTGAGAAAACCTAGGAAAGGAATGTGCCAGGACCACACAGCTGGTTACTGTCAGAACTAAGATAAAAGCCCAGGCCTTCTGTGCCCCAAGCCCCATGCCCCATGGTTTTATGGTGTTCCCAGGTTATGTGAAACCCTAAAGGGCAATTAATCCAATCATCAGCTGATAAAGTGCAGACAAGCACACCCACCCCGATGACTCACACTCACAGAAAAGTAACCTGGCTCAGAGGGAAATGCATGGGACTGGGAGGCAGGCGACAATGAGTGCTTGTCCTGGCCCACTACTGACTCACTTTGCCAACTCTAAGATCAGGCTGAAAACACCCAACTTGCATAGCTGTTGGGACACTAAAGTTGTGAGCAAATGCGTGCCTCGGACAACGAAAAGGGGGGTATGCCAAATTAATAGGGAAAGGAAACTTCCTTTAAACAAAGATATTGGCTCAATTGGCTCTTGTCCAGAAGAAAGCATTTATTATCACATACAATGTATTGTGCTATTGAGTCCATCCAGTGAATGTTTCCTTTCAGAGTCTACGGTGCAGGGATTTTGAGCTCTGGTAGCATAGTGGCTAAGACACTCGCTTGCTAACCAGACGGCTGGCAGTTCAAACCCACCAGCCACTCCTCGGAAGGAAGGTTGGGCAATCTTACTTCCGTAGTGATACTGCCTCGGAAACCCAAGGAGGGGTCGCTATGAGTCGGGGCCGACTCGATGGCACATAACAACAACAACAACAGGCAAAGTGAAGGCCGGGCCACGGAGGTCAGGTTCAGACACTGTGGATGGACCTAGGCCGGAGTGCCCTCTGCGGGATTCACCCTGTCATGCCAGGACAATCGGGACCAGAAGTAAGCTCTTCTTTCCCTGTAGTATCCAGAAGCCCCCACGAGTGAAAAAGCAGCATCACATTCTGAAATAAGAGCCCTTCTCTAGAAGGAAGAAAATAATGATGATTTTCAGAGAAAAGTAATCTACAAAAACATTCATGAATTGCTTTCTTTACTAAATATCAGCCTAACTAATCTGTCCTGTGATCCCTGGGCAGTGGAAATGGTCAACACACTCAGCTGCTAACCTCAGGACTGGAGGTCTGAGTCCACCCCGAGGTGCCTTGGAAGAAAGACCTGCCAATCTACTTCTGAAAAAGCCATTGAAAACCCCAACAAAACCCAGTTCTGTTCTGACACATGTGGGGTCTCCATGAATGAAATTGACTCCACACAAGTTTTTTTAAAATCTCGTCTACTTTCTGCACTGGGACCAGTCAGGCTTCCTCCAATTCTATGCCCTTTTCCTTAGCTCTGTGCCCCCCATCTTTCCACATCTCTCCCATCAACTTCCCACCGCAGCCCAGCTCTTGCCCCAGGGCCTATAACTCAAAGCAGGACACTTATTTACTTGACTTCCTTGTGTTTCAGTTTCCTCAGGTGGCAATTGCCCTGACCACTAAAGATTTTATGAAACGCTTGTATATTTCACTGTCTGTAAAGGTCTTAAATGGTGACTGGCCTAAGAGTAAGCTCTCCATAAGTGTTAGCTTTGTTATTACCATTATTGAGGAAGACAGATGGCTCTTTCCCTCAGCCTCCCTACATGCCAAGTGCCCAGAACCGTGCCTGGCACAGAGTAGGGGTCAGCTTCCTACATGGGTGAATGAAGGGAACGAGGCTGCCTTTGCCGGCCTGGAGCTCAGCCAGCAAGAATGGAAGCCTGTGCTTAAACTCTGCTATCTACCGACATCTCCTCAGCTGCATGCTTTTGTTTCCTGACCCCACACCAGTGGTTCTCAAACTTCACTGGGTTTCAGAATCATCTGGGGAACTTAGTAAAAACAAAAGAATCACAGAGGCCAGGCTGTCTCCCAACTGTGTATCATAGCCCCTTGCCCCACCATTGTCATGGGAGGATCCTGGGGATCTGTGTTCCGGATCGACTCTGGAAAGGTCCTGAGAGGCCCCCCAGTTTGAGAACCACTGCCCGGCACCACCGTACCTCACAGTGTCCAGCACTGAGGGAACTCAGCTGTCCCATTGGCCTCCGTGCCCAGACCTCCAAGGCCCTACCTTCCTTTTTAGGTCTCCTCCAGGTCCTTGTACCCTCCTGTGGTAGTTTACTTGGCTGGGCCTGGCTGAGTGGCTGGGCAGCTGGATGGAGGTATTCCCCTTGATGAAACTGCTAATCCACTCCCTGGTGGAATCTACTGGAGCAGCTGAGTAGCTGCCTTAGGGATGTGGTCTGCTTCCAGGATACAAGGAGCAGCTTTAGGAATGGTCTGTAGCTTTTGGCATGCTTGAATCCTGCATGTAGCCAAGTCATTATTCAGCAGCCTGCAATGTTGTCTGCCGATCTTGAGACTCTTAATGGACTTGAATCAATGGCCTGCCGTGTTGTTTGGTAATATTGGGACTGTACCATTTTATTTGTCCATCTTGGACTTGTCAGCCTTAGCAGCCAGCAGCTGCCTGAGTGAAGAAAGCCTCCAGCTTCAGTGGGCCGGGAGCAAGAGGCAGAGCTGAAGCCCAAGGTCAAGGACCTTTCAACCAACCCCTAGAGCCTGGAACTTTGAACTTGGACTTCTAGCCTCCAAAACAGTGAGAGAATAAACTCCTGTTTGTTGACACTATCCACCTGTGGTATTTCAGTTAGAGCAGCACTGAAGCAAACCAAACCAAACTCACTGCCATCGAGTCAATTCTGACTCCTAGTAAATATAGTTTGTGTAAATGTTATTTTCTTCCAAATGGAAAACCAATCTGACCACATCATTTTTTAAAGAAAGCATCCTTTCTCTACTGAGTACTCTTCTTGCATTAATAATTATGTTTCTGCTCTTTCTCTTTGGTTCTGTGGGTTGTCTTAAGACCAATATCATACTGTTTTTATTACAGTCATTTAGTTGTTGTTGTTATGTGCCGTCAAGTCGACCCCGACTCATAGCGACCCCTCCTTGGGTTTCCGAGGCAGTATCACTACGGAAGTAGGGCATTTTAGAATGCATTTTATTATGGATTAGGGCAAGCCATTCCTCACCATCATCCTCTATGTGAATATGCATCTTCCTAGAGATTAAGCAGTTGACCTGTGCTACCATAATACAACCGACCTTCATTGTTAGCAGCCGTGCCTCTCTGAGGCCACGTGATTACCAAACCACCCACATTTCTCTTTCACATCAGGCTTTAGCGTGAAGCCCACCCCCCAGCTCTATCAAGAATTCACAGTTCTCTTGGATGTAACAGGAGCCTGCCCTTGTGGGTCCTCAGCCTGCTTCATGGAGCTCCAGCAGGAGTTTTTCAACAATCATCCCAGGAAACTGAAGGAATTGATCCTCTTGGTAAAGCACTGGTATCAACAGGTAATTTTCAAATAGTATCTATTGTTATCATTCGTTTCCTTTTTATTGAGGTAACTTACCATCAATTAGGTACAACAGTATTAAGTATACAGCTTAATGTATTTTTTATATCCTTACAAGCAATAGCCAGATCAAAGTATAGAACATTTCCTGTGCCCAAGAAGGTTGTTTCCAGCCCAGTCAATACTCCCCCAAAACAAACTACTATTCTAACATCTGTTGCCAAAGATTAAACTTGTTTTTAAACTTGATATAAATGGAATCACACTGTATGTATTTTGTGTCAGCCTTCTGTTCAACATTGTGCCTGAAAGATCCATCCATGCTGTTGCGTACAGCAGTGGTTTTCCATTGTTTTGTCGTATTCTACTGTGTGCATATGCCACACGTTTATCCATTCTACTGTTGATGGACATTTGGGTTTTTTCCAAGTAGGAGCTGTCATGAATTAGGTTACTATACTCTCCTACATGGCTTTTGGTGAGTTTAATCACTTACTTCTCTCGGGTAAATAGGAATGGAATTGCTGGGTTATAAGATGTGTGTATATGTGTGAATATGTATGTGTGTATGTACATATGGTTTATGTGTGTATGTATGTATGTATGGGATATATATCTATATTTAGCTTTAGTAAATATGGCCAAACAGTTTTACAAAATGGTTGCACCAAATTATACTCCCATCAGCAATGTATGAGAGTTCCAGTTGCTCCGTTTCAACACTTGGTATTGTCAGTCCGTTTAACTTGAGGCATTCTGGTAGGGACAGTGGCTTCTCATAGACTTCTGGTTTCTTCATTTCAGACACTTGACATGGTAGTCCTGGGCCCCCCAATTAGCTGATTTCCTCTTCTTCTCCCACAGTGCCAAAAAAAGCTGGAGGATCCATCCCAGCTGCCCCAGTATGCTCTGGAGCTGCTTACAGTATATGCCTGGGAACAGGGGTGCGGGCAGGAGGATTTTGATATAGAGGAAGGCATCAGATCTGTTCTGGGACTGATCAGGCAGCATGAACAATTGTGTGTCTACTGGACAGTCAACTACAACTTTGAGAATGAGACCGTGAGGAACGTCCTGCTGTCCCAGGTCCGGGCATTGAGGTACCAAGCTCCCCATGGCCCTCTCCCTCTTTCCCTGTGGGCTGAGCTGTATCCCTGTAGAATGAGGTCTCAGCCCTGTCCTGTCCAGCCAATGATGTGTCAAATAATGTCGGCAGCGGTGGGTGGGGAGGCAAAGAGAAGTCTGTCTGAAAGTAGGGACACCTGACCAATACTTTTCACACTCCCAACTGTAGTCATATATTTTATCTCAAACACAAACCCTAGGAGTCCTTGGATGACACAAACAGTTAAGCACTGGGCTACTAACCTAGAGGTTGGTGGTTCAAACCCACCCAGAGGCACCTCAAAAGAAAGTCCTGGTGACTTTCTTCTGCTTCTGAAAGATAACAGCCATGGAAACCCGACGGAGTACAGTTCTACTCTGCAAAACTGGAGGTGTGCTTTCCCTTCCAGAAGGAAAGGGCTAAGATGGGCTAGGGAGAGGGCATTGATGGGAACAGGAGACCATCTGGTTACTGTATTAATGGAGCATCTCTATAAAGCTGAGATCTTGGAGTCAGAGAGTCCAGATGTGTTAGACAAAGCCCCTCACCAGGTTAGAGGAACTTTAAGCATTAAGGGAGCTCTGGTAGCACAGTGCCTAAGGCATTTGACTGCTAACCATAAGGCTGGTGGTTCAAACCCATCAGCCACTCCTTGGAAGGAAAGTCGGGCAATCTACTTCCGTAGTGATACCACCTCAGAAACCCAAGGAGGGATCTCTATGAGTCAGATCCAACTCAACGGCAGTGAGTAAGTGAGTTTAGGCATTAAAATCCAGGTTACTAGATTTCATCAAGGGCTCTTTTCTCAAAATGAGTATCTCCCCCTGCAGCAGCTTAACAATTTTTTTTTTCAATCCAATGAATTCATAGGCCAGTAATCTTGGATCCAACTGACCCAAAGAATAATGTGAGTGGAGATAAAAAGTGCTGGCACCTACTAGACATCAATGCTCAAATCTGGTTGTCTTCTCTCTGCCTGGCTGATGGGTCACCTGGACCGTCCTGGAATGTTCTGGTGAGAGGCCATGTGTCATACTACAGGGAGGGCTCTTCTGACACCCGGACTCCAGTCTCATCCATTAAAATGATGGGTAAAGCACAGAAGGGAACACGAGAGAAGGAAATGGTAGATAAAACAGAGCCCAGTCCAGGCAAGTGGCAGCAGTCACTTCCACAGGTGCCTGCAAAGGGTCTGGGCGCCCTGCAAGCAGGTGGGAAGGGCGAGAGTGAGGAGTGGGGCTGGAACAGCACTAAGAAAGGGGCCTGTGGGAGGCATTGGTTTCCCTCTCCCATCCCCCAGTGGAAAAAGAAGCAAATCTATCACATGGATTTCCCCTGACTCTCCAAGCCTGTTGTTAGGTGCCATGGGTCGGTTCCCACTCATCATGACCCCATTCAACAGAATAGAACTGCCCCGTGGGGTTTTCCAGCCTGGAATCTTCACAGGAGCACATTGCCAGGTCTTTTTCCTGCAGAGCTGCTGGTGGCTTCAAAATTTTCAGTAACAACTGAGCACTTAACAGTCGTGCCACCAGGGTTCGACAGGGCAATCCAAAAATCACCTTCTTGGGTTAGGCCACTGAGTCCTTTCCACTTTCCTGGGCATCACCCAAACCTAACTGTTGCCGAAGAGTAGATCCAACTCATGTGATCTCATTTGTGACTGCACAGAGCTAGGCTCCACAGGGTTTTCAATGGTTGACTTTTTGGAACTAGGTCACCAGGGCTTTTATCTGAGGCACCTCTGGGTGGATGCAAACCACCAACCTTTTAGTTGACAGTGGAGGGCTTAACCATGTGCTCCAGCCAGGGACACCTCATGGGAACCACACATGCACACACACACAAAAACAAACTCACTGCCATCAAGTTGATTCTGATTCATAGTGACCCCCTTTGGGTTTCCAAGGCAATAAATCTTTATGGAAGTAAAGCCCAGTCTTCCTTCCATGGAGTGGCTGGTGGGTTTGAACCACCAACCTTCTGGTTAGCAGTCAAATGCCTTAGGCACTGTGCCGCCAGAGCTCCATGGGGACCACAGAGGAGTCAAATGTATCATTTAAAGCTGGGTGGGTACACCAAATACCACGTGTCAAGACAGCAGACTAATTTATTACCAAAGCATGACAGGTGGGGATCTACGTTCCATTTGCACAGAAATTTGAGGGACAGCTGAGCAAAAATCTAGCTGTCAGTGAAGATATCAATGAGCTTATCAGATGTTCAGGTCTCTGGAAGTGAAGGAGCCTGTGAAGAGAGCAAATTCCCTCACTGTATCATGGAGCGTGATGCCCGCAGCAACTGCCCAGTAGCACCTCCAGCCTGCCTGGAACTCCTTCCAGGTCTTTGCTCCCTGACCCTAGTTCTGCTGGCTTCCTAAGACAGCCTTTTAAAAAATTGTTTCCTCCCAATATTTTTACCTTCAACTTTGAAATGTACAGAAAGTTATAAAAATGGTGAAATGGACTCCCGTGTGTCCTTCACCTAGATGCACAAATCCTTACCATTTTGCCATATTTGCTGTGTCTTGTTCTCTCAATCTGTGTGTATGTGTGTGCGGTGTATATGTTCATGTATGTACTTGTATACGTACCTCCCTACTGCCATCGAGTCAATTCTGACTCACAGCGACCCCACAGGACAAAGAAGAACTGCCCCGTAGGGTTCCCAAGACTGTAAATCTTTATGGAAGCAGACTGCCTCATCTTTCTCTTGTGGAGTGGCTGGTAGGTTTGAACCACTGACCTTTTGGTTAACAGCTACACACTTAACTACTCTGCCACCAGAGCTCCACGTATGCATGCATAATATTGTCATTGTTGTTATCATTATTTACACCAAATAATTGGAGAGCAGGCTGCCAGGCATCACTTCTCTTTATCCCTAAATGCTTTCCTAGATATCTCCTGAGAACAAAGATAAGTGCTAGGTAACCACCGTGCAATAATCAAATTCAGTCAGTTAGGATTAGTGTAATAGCATTGCCACTATTATCTAAATAAAAGGAGCTCTGGTTGAACAGCAGTTAGGGCATTCAGCTGCTAACCAAAAGGTTGGCAGTTCAAACCCACCAACTGTTCTGTGGGAGAAAGATGAGGCAGTCTGCTTTCGTAAAGATTTACAGCCTTGGAAACCCTATGGGCCGGTTCTACTCTGTCCTACAGGGTGGGTATGAGTTGGAATCCACTCAGTGGCAGTGAAAATGCCATCCATTTTCAGATTTTGCTAATTATGGTAAAAGCGCCCTTGACAGCAGCTTCTTACAACCAAAGTCTACACATTGCACTGAGCTCTCTCTCAACAGTCGTTTGATAACTGCTTTTGCCTTTTTTTTTTTTTTGGTTTGCTACCCATCAGCTTCTATTTCTGGACCTACAAGACCATCCCTCTTAGCTACAGCTGTTAGAGACCCTCCTGGTCCAGGACCTACTGCACAAGGAGGTCCAAGCCCTGGACAGGTCATGGGTCCACACACCCACACACACGTGCACAAATACATGTGTGCACACACATACATATCTATGAATATACATACATACACAGTACACATAGTACACATATATGCATGCATGCACTGGTGCACACATATACATCGCAGTGTTATGCTCTATGGGAGAGGAAATACTGGTAATGAACTTGGCTTACAACAGGAGGTCTTTAAGGGGTAAACAACTCAAGGAGCCATCATCAGGAAGGGAAGAGGGCATGAAAACCTCAGGAAAGAGTAAAAGTCAGGGGATGGCTTACATGTCCCTAGATAGTGTCTTCCTGAAGCAAGGTGGGGGGGGTCTCTGGGTCAGAGAGGTCGGAGGGACAGCAGCATCCTAGGGCCCTTACAACTGCACAGCTGTGTCTTATCTAGAGCTCACAGATGTTGGGCACAGCATCACTGGGTTTGTAAAGTAGGCAGGTCCACAGGAGCTCAAACTAGGCTTATGTGGGCTACTTTTAAAACAATTCCGGGGTTCCGGCAAGATGGCAGACTAGGCAGAAGGACTGCACAGACCCTCTTCAACAAAGAAAAGGGAAACCAATTAACACAGACACAGAAGATAATCTTGGACCCT